ATTTGTTTGAAGTTTTCTTCTCTCACATTCACCGAAAAAGGTAGTCCATACGAGATCTATAAGCTCCCAGCCAGTTTAAAAAATGAACAGATCTTATGCCCTCTATTTTAAGTGTTTATTACTTAGATCTTGGCCTAGACAAGAATGTATACTTTATAAGTTGCTTCTATCTAAAAAAGCATGTAAAGTCTAATGGTGGGAATTTGTGTGAATACCCCTCATATTCCACCACCTAAGCTTCTTCTAATTGTTTTCCAGGCTAGCCCTGTACAAATAAGATGGCTGTGGCAACTCTCTAACTCGCTGTCTATGTGCATGGAAACTTCAAAGAATAATAAAGTTATGTTGCTCGTTCATAGTCCCTAGGCTCGAGCATAAGTTATTTATATTTTCCAAAGTTTTCTAACATTTATTTAGGCTCACAGTGAACAAGAGAATGTTTCCAATCCCTGCCCAGGATATTTAGCTAATAATCAATTCTCTTTGATGCCATAAAAGGAGAAAAAAAATACATACAATTAGCATATTTATCAAGCATCTGCTATATGTTCTTTAAAGTGAAAGTTAATGCTGTAGACAATAGGTTTAACTAATGGAGAATTGTAGGAGTTTCGAAGTTGTAACTGACCTTAGTGATGGCCCAGTCCAATTGCTTCATATGTACAGATAAAGGACAAAGGCCCAGAAATATTGTTGCTTTCTTAAAGTATAGAGTCAGTGGTAGAATTGGGCCTAAAACATACCTATCCTGGCTCCCCATCCAACACTCTTACCAAAGTATTGAGGATTTGGGGGGAGGCTAATACTTCTTTTCAGTCATTGGTTCACCACCACCACTACCACCACCATTATTACAAGCAAAGACCTTGATTTAAAAAAAAAAAATTTTAAACTTTTAAAAAATACTTCTGCAACAGAGGTGAAACAGAAGTGAATAAAAATTCCGTAGGTAAGGACTCCTAACCAAGAAAAGATTTCTTTCCAGAGTAATAGTGTAGATATTATATTGATACAACTTACCAGTTGATAACTTTTCCTGTTACTGCTGTACAGTTTAGGTGACTTTGTAATTTAAATAAGGACTTTCACAATATAAGATTTCATGTTTGCACCTTGAATTGCATCTGAAAGCAAATAGCAGTATTTCCTTTGTAACTTCTACTACAAGTAAGTTAACTTTCATTTTAGACATTACTGCTCTGTCTATACAGGTTAACAAAGTGGTGTGAGGTTTTGGGGGTTTTTTGAGGGGGGGAAGGGAGACATTGAGACCTGTGATTCCATCAGTGTAAGGGAATGAGGAGACCTCCCCCTCCCAAATCCCAAAGCTGATATGCAAAGGTTAGGCAAGTTACTTTTTAGGTAGTCAGCTCAGGCATACAGATATTAAACAACTGGTCCAAGGTCAGGTAGACCTTTGTGTGTCCTGGGCAGGACATAACCCATTCACCATTTGACTCTCAGAAGTGGATAACTGAGAGGCATTTATCCAGGTTATTTAAGTGTGAATAATGACCCAGCAGGTATTATGTTCTAAGTACTACAAAACATTTTAATAATTTTTACTCTAGTTTGCAAGTAGATGTGACTTGAATTACCTGGATGACTGTTAGTTTTCTACTTTATTTCACATGTACATAAAGTAGTTTAATCCAAATATATAAGTAGTTTTCCAAATTTTCCCTAATACAATACACAATGACAGTTTCTAAAAGGACAAGAAGAAAAGGACAATAAGAACAAAAAAAAAAGGTAGAGAGAGAGAACTGAAAAGGAATTCTTTCTAACCCTTTCCTCAATTTTATTACTCCTTAGGGACCTGCTGGTTCACAACGATCACCACATACAAGGTCCCTATCTCCCAAGCCCAACAATCCCATGATGGGACCTTATGGTCAGGTAGGAGGGACACAGGAAATACTTTAAAATACGTTACTCCAGAATGCCATATTTAAGATGAGAAATTTCTCATTTTAAATGTTTCATTCAATTAATACTGAATCATCTTTCAATTATAGATAGGAACATTGAAAAAATTTTTTTAAATTTTATTTTGTTCTAGGATCCTTCTAAACTTTTCAACATTTGACTTTGAGTAATACATTTAACATAATTTCCATGATTTTTTTATTTCACAGTCAAATTCTTTAAATTACATAGTACTATTTTGTTATCCATCTTTATTTTTCCATGTTTCCCAAACTGCTTTTTCAATTATAATCTGAACAAATGAATTACTTGAAATGACACTTTTTGAGAGATGTTATACACCTCTACATAAACATTGAATCAAATATTTGATTCTTAATAATTTCAAGATATTTCAAGAAGCTAAGACATTTTTGGAAATAAAAAAAGTAAAAAGATGAGCTGTTTCTGACCCATATTATACTGCAGTGAAATAGATGAGCAGAGGAGAAAAGAATCAACTCTTAGGACAAGATATTTAAGAATGAATGTTCATAAATGATTACATTTCTTGCACTGAGCAAATGAATGTGAAAGTTAAGGAATACTATAAGTCTTAACTAAAGAACTTTATAAAAATTGCCAATTGACTTGGGGGGGGAATTAATTTGAGGGCAGAATTTCTTTATGATTTGAATAGGAGAGATGATAAAACTAACCTACAACCCAGTGGTTAGGGAGAATAAAATGTTCTCCTGCAATTAGCAATTGATTGCAAGCTAGTTATTGTGAAATCTCCAACTGGGAAAAGAACAATGAAAGATGGTGTTGACTGGGGAAAGGCAGAGCATTCTGTGGCATTGGGGAGCCCTTCCAGGGAACTTAGTAGTTAGGCAACCAGGGAAGGATGGTACCTATTTATCTGTGGCTCTCCCCCACTTTGGGAACAAAAGAGAGCTTTGCATAATTTCTTTTTTATGGGTAACTCTTTCATTCTTAAGTACTTCAAGGATCACTAATTTTGTAGGTATGGGTGCTCTCCACCCAGAGACTTATTAAAACTTTTCTACAACTTTTACTAGATGATTTACTAGTTTCTATGGCTGAAAAAGTCATTACTCTATAGCCTACTTGTAGTTCCTTTGAATTTAGCTTGACTTCTCTGCTGACAGTTAGGTACCAGCTTGTACCATGAAGCCTTTCTAGTTTGGTTGGGACCTCTCCACTGCCCCAGCCTTCCCAGACCCAGGCCTGGGCTGGTGCCTAAGAAACATTATTCTTGCACATGCAAAATGAGTGGCTAAGCACAATTCAAAATCTTGAACAGAGGACCAAATTGTTCATTTAATTTAGAACTTTGTTTTGCTGGTTAGTCAGACACTTAATAATACCGGGCAAAGGTGGAATACTTGATAATTCTGTCTGGTCATAGAAACAAAAGTTTAAAACAACAACAAAATTTGTGTATGCGCATACACACACACACTCCTATATAGTAAAAAATGAAATTAAAATTTCACAGTTTTTGAGTAATTGTATAAAATCCCACCATCTCTGCCACTTCCTACCCATGTAATATTGAGGCACATGACTCCCTGCGCCTTAGTTTCCTGATTTGTCAAATGAGGATGTTGGACTAGATGACTGGTAAGGGTCCTGCCAGCTCTGAATTCATGATCCTGTGATCAGTGTAAATGCTAAGCCAGAGAAGAGAGTGAGAGGAATGTTATCTATATCAGCATTACGAATTCCATGAAGCCGTTGTTGAATCAGAAAGAAGCTTTATTAACAACCTGGGAAGGCCTGGCATCCTTCATGTGTGAGTGCATGCATGGGAGAGCACATGTATTGACAAATGTACAACTTTTCATTCCCTGTTCCCCATTGGAATTTCTTTCCCTTGTTTCCTCATTTGCTGAACACTATAGAGGTTAAAGCCTATCCCAAGCCCCTAATTACATCTCCCGCTCCTCACAATTCAGCGACCCCGCCCTTACTTGGGAACACCCCTTTTGATGTTAATCTGTACCTAACCTCAGAACTGGTCCATTCACCACCAAGAGTGTTTTCTTATTCTAATATATCTCCCTTTGTTCAACTTCCACCTAGCCCCCAGACTGCATTCCTTAAGGTTCCACTTGACTTTTATGGAAATAATAAAAAAAAAAACTATTTCTCACATTCCCTCCCAGTTTAAACTGACTCCAACCTCTGATTGAGAAACAGAAGCAATATCTACATATTCCCTAGGAACTGAATTTATGATATCATTGGCATCAGGACCTCCCAGAAGAGAAAAATCCTATCAGTGCACATCCCTATCTTCTCAGCCACATACACTCTTAAAGGGCTTCCTAGAGCACTGAGAAGTGACTTGTCTAGGGTCACACAGCCAGTGTAAATAAGAAGCAGCATGGTGTATGAGATAAAGCATTGGTTGTGGGGCAAGAAGGAGCTGAGTTCAAGTTCAGAAAATTTGCCCTAAATTAGTGTTATTACTGTCATCGTTAATAACTACTCAGTGACTCCCAAGGATCTGTGATATTATTGATAGGCAAATTCCTGCTAATGATGCAGATTGCAACCCACCTATGTCTGCTCATCCTGCAAAGCCCTTGATTGTGTCTTTTCCCATGAAATGTTGACTGCATGGGTCAACTTGGCCCTTGTTTGAGTTTTTGTAACATCTCTAGGATACTAAGTGGAACACATGGGCTGTATATCAGTCATGCCTTACTCTCACTATGGGGCCATTTCATTTCCTTTTTGATCATATATTTAGTGGCATCCTATATACTACATATCATTTTGTAATTCCTTGTTTGGCACACACACACATGCAACACACACCTTGCGCCTCTCCAGTAATGATAATACGTATTTTAATTTCTATGCAATATTAAGGGTAAAGTCAGAATTCCCGTATTCTTCAGTAAAAGTCTCAAAGCAAATCCACTAGATGACATGATACTAATTTCCTTAAGAGGTTTTATTTTAGAAAAGGTATGAAATAGTATGATAACTATCTTTAAAATATAACACTTAGATTTTTGAATTTCACAGCAGTGTTATATGCTCTTTTTTTTTAATAGCCTTTCATGTCACCTCGGTATCCTGGAGGTCCAAGACCACCACTGAGAATACCTAACCAGGTAAGGCCTCTCTGAAATATGAATTTGCATTATAATTCAGTAAAAAAAAATTCTGAATTTTTGAGAAATATCAAAAAATTATATCTGTACTTTTAAATATTACTTTTACTGTGATACCTAAGCACCTTATGCTTTTTTCATTACATAATTTTTCCTCAAAAAAAATCATAGAATTTAAAGCTGCAAGGACCTTAGAGATTACCTAGTCCATTTCTCTGATTCTGTTAATGAGGAAAATTTTGAAACCCAAAGAGGTTACCCTGAGATTATACAGTTAGTGACAGAGTCAAATCTGACTTCCAATTGTATGTCTTCTGACCATTCCTTCCACAACACCATTCTGAAAAATTGTGTAAATGTTAGTTAAATATTGCCAGTTAAAGCCTTAGTATACAGTGAATGTTGTTTAAAAAAATCATCATTAACCTAATTTTTGTCATTTATTTTCATGTTACATTTAAGTTCATAGTTTCAATTTTAGATCAAATGTTAACCATATAATTAAGACTATTTTTATCTCAGTAGGTCTACAGCTGGGTTGCTAGCCTTCCAATGAGTCCTCCAATTTGTTGACATGTATTGATATTTTACTGGCTCTAGGCTCACTCTCCCAGTTGGCAGGTCAGGTCTCCAGAGTGCAGCTCTTACTTCCCCCTCAGTTAGTCCTGAAGGGTTATGGCATCTAAAAGTATTGCTCTTGAGCCCTGTCCAATTCGTTCCTTTCCCCCTCCCCAATATAACTTAACCAGTCAGCATCTGCCAAGTAACAGTTGAGGAGCTGACATCAATTAGCTTTTACCAAGGGATATTTACTGAGGAGATATTGGAAGGACCAAAAAGAACAATAATCCTGTCCTCTCCAAACTAGGAATTACACTCAGTCCCTGGAGAGACTGGACTCATTTAAAGTGGTGACTACATTTTAGGTGGAACCTTCTGTCCCATGAATACTTTTCTGCCTCTTCAAAGTTCGCTTCTACATTTGGCGTAACTAGTGGGCAAGGTACTCCCTTTCTTAGCTAGTCTGGGTCAAGCAGATCATTCCTTAGGGCTGTGGCAGCTCTGACAGACTTTGTTACTGATGACATTTGTTGGACCCTGATGGCTCGTCCAACTGGGGAAAAGGGTAAGATATCAGTTGCTTGAAACTTACATGCAGACTTAGTTCTAGCTCAGAACTCAACTAAAAGAATTTTTGTCACACAATAAGCTGACAGGAAACAGAGACTGTTTGTTCTCTGAAATGGGAGAAAGGGGAGGAGGGCCTCTCTCTTTGCACAGGCGGGAAAGCAGGCTCACCAAGCTTCCACATGCATGGGAACTAGGCAAGAAATACTAAGCCGTCACCCAGTACAAAAATAAGTTGCCTCTGATTTCTTGTGGCATTTCACATGTCTCTGGATCCAAATGCTGCTTAGTCGATTAAGTGTTTCCTAAGCACCTACTATGTGTTTGCCGCCTTGGAGAAATACAAACTAAGTGTAAAATATGTTCCCTTTGTTCAAGGAGCTAAGAAGATAGTTTATAAAACACTTTGAAAACAATCACAGAACTGCACAGTGCTGGTGATGGGATCCAGAACAAGTGCAAACAAAAGATGGGCCTTTTTTCCTAATTCCATTTGTGTCCAAAGGAAATCTGCCTGTGTCTGTAATAGTATTAATTTATTCCTTTTTAGCCTGACTTTTGCATGTTTTCTCCCCCACTAGAATGTGAGCTCCTTAAGGGGAAGAACTGGTTTTGCCTCTCCCCCCCCCACCACCTTTTTTATTGTTGCTAGCACTTAACTCAGTGTCTGGCAGGTGGGAAGTATTTAATAAATGTTTGTTGACTTCATTAACTCATTTTCCTTTTTAACCCCTAATACTTCCCTATAATACAAATTTAAAGGCCCACACATCCCTAAATTCTTCCTTTATGTTAATCCTCACAATAATTCTACCAAATTTCAAATTCTACCAAATTTTCACCCATTTCTACACTAATTTTGGTTGAAATGTTTGTAGAGTCCTTGCAGAATCCTAACATGGCAGGCAGTCTTCCTCTGAGGCCACTGTAGCAGCAAGAAACGCTAGCTCCCAATTCCAACCCTGGATCAAAGCTGACATGCTAGCAAGGTTGGAGCCTTTCACGCTTTCTGTGGCCTGCAATGCTCATGGAGCTGCTGGAGCATCTCTCCACAATCCCAACTCAGTATTGAAAAACATGGTCTAAGGGAACAGGCCATGAAATGGGAAAGAAAAGCAGACAGATGCCTCGGATCCTGACATATGGAAACCCTATTTTCTCTGTGGGTGAACACATACATTGACATTCAAATCGGCTTATTTATGTAAATGCCTTTATTGTTTCTGTATAGAGGATGGAACTTTTTCAACTTGTTCCTGAATTTTACTGAGAATTTTTCCAACTTTCCATTTTATATTTTGTACTAGTCCCAGTTGAAATTATACTAAGAAGAGGCACATTCAGAGCACCTACACCTAGGACAGGGTGGCTCCCTTATTTCCCAAATGCTTAGAGAGCCCTTTCAAACCTCTCTGCAATGATAGCTTCCCTCACGATGATGGCTTAAGGAGAGGGAAAATACAGGGTGTCCGAAAAGTCTTAGGGCAGCTTTCAGCTTTTAAATCTCACTTTCCCAATGGGCAGTTAAGCTTAAAACTACACCAACACTTTTGGAGCACATCACATTTTTGAGGGCTTCCCTGGGCCCCTTTGTCCTCAGCCCTGTTGTTTTGGGAGACCACAAAGGCATTCCTTAGGAGAGCTCCTTCCAAGCTTAGCTGAAAGAGGGCCTTTATAATACAGATATGTAATCATTTTAAAAACTACCTCCTGAGCCTAAAAATGTTCCCCCTTAACTCAGTAGATAAACTGAAAATTAGTTAGCCTTATCTCAGAGGAAAGTCTGTAATTGTTAATTTCTTCTATTTAGTCAACAATTAGCAACCCTTTTCTTGTAAATATAAGTAAAATAAGCATTCCAATACCCATTGAATAGGGCAGCTTGGTGGACCAGCAAATAGACCCCCTGGCCATGAGTCAGGAAGTCCTGAGTTCAAATTGGGTCTCAGACACTTACTAGCTGTGTGACCCCAGGCAAGTCACTTGACTCTGTTTGCCTCAGTTTCTTCATCCATAAAATGAGCTGGAGAAGGAAATGGCAGACCACTCTACTATCTTTGCCAAGAAAACCCGCAATGGGGTCGTGAAGAGTCGGACATGATTGAAACAACTAAACAAGAACCACCTGTGGAAGGAGTAGTTTTAAATATGTGGGGAAATTGATGCAGTGAGATGTTTCATAAATCCTCAATCAAATACCCAGATGTTTTTGCGTGACTAGAGTGTTGGTGGTTCTTTAGGCCTGGACACATTTCACCTCTTCAAGTGAAATGTGCTAACATTGATGGCGCCTTGTCCCCATTTATGTTTGTTTTATAATGTCCATGACAGCCTCTTTGTTCCTTGTTGTTTTTTCTCATAGATGCTGAAGCTTTGCTAATTCTGATTCTGCTAATTCCATATTTGTAATATTTTACTTCTGTGCTACTGAGAGAAAAGGTTGGTTAGGCAAATTAGTAGTATAAACTTGATCATATAAGGGAATATTTGCCCTCCTTAAGAGAGCGAACAGTTTTCAGGTACTTTCACAAGATCTAATATAATAATTACAAATGAGTCATGTAGTTATTAAAGTGGGATTGGTAGAACCTTTATGGTTGCTAATAAGTTGGCATTATTACGTATGTATTTGGTACAATAAAAATTTAAAAATACTTTGTTAAATATTCTATAATTCAGCTGTTTTATTAATTTGTATTCACCTTTAGATTAATATAGTTTTATTGTATTGTCAAAAATATTTCTACTGAGAGACTGAATAATAAAATGTTAAATACCTAATGACGGTGGCAGGTCATTGTGGATCCATAATGCTCATCTTTAAGATGAGCAAAAACTGGAAGAATTTATAGCCACGATTGATTAAGATACAGTCATCCACCCTAGGTTTTTTTCAAATTTTCCCCATAGTTTCTGTGTGGATGCACAAAAATGGTACTGTTTTATACAGGCATTAGAGGTTGTAAGTAGTGTATGTCTGGGGAAGGTAAAAAGCTGGGAAGTAATAAAATATTTGCAACAAAAAGGAGGAAGCTGTAGTAGCCATTGTGGTGGTGGAAGGGAGGAATGCTATGAAGTATCTTGAGCAAAGAATAAACGCTGATATAGAAATGCCAAGCTCAGGATCTGTTAGAGAATACCTGGACTTTGTCTCATTGTCGAAAGGCATCCTGGACTCTGAGTCAGGTAATCTAACAAGAATGTGTAGAGATATTTAAAGCTCCTCCTAACCTGACTCCTTCTGACTTCTCCAGGCTCTTTACCCTTTACTGCATTCCACACTCACTACAATTCTTGATAGTCTGGCTCAATTGCAATTCCTGGGATCTAACAGTCCCTTCTTCACTGACTCTCCTTTTGCCTGGAATGTTCGGCCCTGTCACTTCCACCTTCTGGCTCTACCTCCTGATATCCCAGCTGCTGATGCCTTCCCCTTTCAGATTGGCTTTTCTCTACTCTGCATATATCTTGTACGGACCCATTATTTCCACGTTGTCTCATTCATTAAGGTGTAAGGTCCTTTGAGGGCAGAACTATTTTTGCTCCCCCTACCTCCTCCCTTTGTTATGGTATCTCCAGTCCTTAGCAAAATGCCTGATGTAGTAAATGCTTAATAAATGCTTTTTAACTTAACTTGATAGATAGTATAGAGATAGGGAATGGGTTTATGATTTCATTGGTATAGGAAACTTCCTCTACCTATGCGAGTCTTTACCCTCTCTATGAAAGGCAGCTAAGTGGTAAGATGGATAAAGCACTGGGCTTGAAGTCAGGAAGGTTCCTCTTCCTGAGTTCAAATCTGGCCTCAGACAATTACTAGCTGTGTGACCCTGGGCAAGTTACTTAACCCTGTTTGCCTCAGTTTTCTCATC